CTGGGCGTCAAATAAATCGAGATTTACCCAGCAGTACATCATAAATGTAAAAAAAATCATGGAAACCCTTTGGAATAGTAAAATTATGTTTTCTTTCCTGCTAAATGTGCATAATGGTTGCTGTGTCTGTTGGTTAAACAAATGGTCCTAATGTTCATATTAACTTAATAGTGAGAAATGTGAAGTCTCACATTCACAATAAAAACAAATGCCACAGCCCAGCTGGAATGGCCGGTGTGGCTCGGTGGATTGAGCATTGTCCCATGGACTGAGAGGTCCTGGTTCAATTCCCCGTCAGGGCACATGCCCCAGTTGCAGGCTCGACCCCCAGTAGGGGGCGTGCAGGAGGCAACCCATCACTGTCTCTCTCACATCAATGTTTCTATCTTTCCCTTCCTCTCTCTATAAAAAATCAATAAAAACATTTTAAAAAATTAAAAACAACAACAACAATAACGCCTTGGGTTGGTGAAGGGGCAGTTCTGCATCCACCAGGCTCCAGGAGGCTCTAGTGAGTTAGCTAGCTGTTCATGACCATGTCTGGGATAATCGGAGATGGGCACATGTCACGAAGTTGCAATTCCACATCCTGGCAACGTACCCTGAATTCAGGGACCGCTCCTGTGTATGTGACTATGCTCCAGCCATGTGTGTGGCAGTAAATGTCACGAATTCAGAAATGAATATATACCTGGAGGAGTGTTCATTCAATGAATTAAAATGAATGAAATAAATCTACATAAATGAATCTTAATGATGTTGAATTTAAAACAGCAAATTGAAAAAGGATATGGACAATATGATACAATTTGTATACATTTAAACATTTATAAAACAAATATAGGAAAAGCATAAAAACATGGCTGGGAGAAATGTTTATCACCCTCAGGAGAGAGGCATGGGAATGAGATGGAGGGCTTCAGTTATACTGGGGATATTTATTGTAAAGCTTGTAAAGTAAATACAGCATAAATATTCATCTCTTATATTTGACTGATGTGTTCCTGGGTATGTGGTGTATTATTTTTTATACTTTTACTGTATGGTTAAAACATTTCATAACTTTAAAAGAAAAGTATTTTAGCCTAACTGTTGTGGCTCAGTGGATTGAGTGTCATCCCATGGACTGAGAGGTCCCAGTTCAATTCCTGTTCAGGGCACATGCCTGGGTTTCGGGCTCTATCCCCAGTGGGGGTGTGCAGGAGGCAGCCAATCGGTGTGTCTCTCTCACATCGATGTTTCTCTCTCTTTCTCTCTCTCTCCCTCCCACTCTGTCTAAAAATAAATGGAAAAATATCCTCAGGTGAGAATTTAAAATAGATAGATAGATAGATAGATAGATAGATAGATAGATAGATAGATATTCTATTAAATAAATTTCAGAAAATTAGAAAAAATAAATTACTCAGAATCTCATCACCCAAAAAATGGTCATTGTTAATGTTTTGGTATATTTTCTTCCATTTCTTCTCTTTGGCGGGGGTGGGGGGCAGTATTTAAATATAGCTCTACACATCTTAGATACACATATTGAATTCTGCCTTTTTCACTCATTATAAAGTTACCCTTTTTTTATGTTATGACTTAGCCTCCCTGAACATCATTTCTATTGACTTCTAGTAAAGATCTTCCGCAGCTTGCTTAACCAACTGTTGTGAACATTCAACAGTCATATTTGTAAACATAATCCTTTTGAAAGCCTGAGGAACAGGGTTGGGTTGTGCTTGGCTGCTGATTTCTACCAGGCTGTTCAGTGCCGGGGTGAAAAGTAAAAAAGGTCTGTCACACCTTTGAGATCTCGTTCCCGAAAAGACTGAGCGTGTCTGCTTTATCCCGTGGGTAGGAACTGTACATATTTATTTATTTTTTTAATGTTTTTATTGATTTATTTATATTTTTTAGAGAGAAAGGAAAGGAGAGATAGAAACATCGATCGGCTGCCTCCTGCACGCCCCCTACTGGGGAAGAAGCCTGAAACCCAGGCGCGAGTCCTGACTGGGAATTGAACCAGGACCTCTCAGTCCATGGGACAACATTCAACCCACTGAGCCTCACCGGCTGGGCAGGAACTGTACATATTTAAAAAGCCAGCTCTCTGTGTCTCTTGCCTGAGAGGAAAAAAGTACTCAAACCTGCAGCTGGGGGAGTATTTGCTGATTCCATTAAACTCTTTTGAGGCCTGGGTAACAGCAGAAATAATTATTCCAGAGATTTCTGTGCCCCCTCCCAGCTTACAGATGCTCTTCCATTCATTCCATCTGGTCCTCTCGGGGTCTCTGAGAGGTGCAGAGCAGGCACACAGTTGCCCCTGGATTACAACAGTAAGAGGAAAGGCAGGACCACCATCCGATGCTCCCGACTCCTTCCAGAACACTTTCAGCGGCCATCCTTACACCCAGGCCATGTCTGCCCAGAACCCACTATGCCTCTTCTAGACCACACTCGGTCCCTGGAATTCCCTGGAAGGCCTGAGCTTTTCCAGGGTCTGCACAAGACTGAATGTGTCCCCCTGGGGGCCAGACCACCAGCATGTGCACACCTAGGCCCAGGGGTAGGATTTGCAGGGGGTGAGCAGGGCTTAGACCTGCAAGTTGCAGGATGAATCATGCATGGGTCAGTTTGTGTGGGCTAAGGGCAGGTGCAGGGGCTTAAGGCCAGCGTCCCCTACCGTACTGCAAGGTCTCCGAGAATTCTAAATCCAGGCATGGCCTTCTTGGTCATTATGACAATCTGCTTGTCCCAGTAGCAGGATAGACTGTATTCTGTGTAACAGTTTGTTAGCTACATCTGTAACCTCACTATTTAGAGATTTGATATGTGGACCTCCTTTTCTACTCTTGCTCTGGTACCCACAGGTTTTATGAACAGTATTATCACACTGTTTCACACTGTTTTCAGGTTCCCTTTTTTCTATCCAAGGCTACCATCATACTGGGGTGAGAAGGTGCAGAGGAAGCAATCTGGAGCCACAGAAAAATGAAACTTAGAGTGTAAAATCCCAATATATCAGACACCCCCGTGTCCATGTGTAAAAGCAAGAAATGCATTTCAGGACAGAATACATAGAGTACAACCACCTGCTATGAGGATGAATCAGCCTGACACAATCCAGCCAAATCAGAAATAGAAGCCAGCTCGTAAAGCTACAATCTGCAGCTCTTCCCCTTCTCTCCATTTCTCCACCACCCCCATCACCGTTCCTCCCTGTGTGCCGCAGAACTACACCCTCTGTTGGTCGTTTTAAGCTATGCGAGAAGTCAGACCCTTGGTTTTGCCCATGACAACATGGCCCACCAGAATCGGCATGGGAAATCAATGTTGCAAGAATTTTCATTTTAATTGTTGTTTGACCACTGAACTAATTTTCTTTTGGGCCCTTATTCCCAAGCCATATTTCTGATTTGTGATTAAGGATTTAACTGAATAGAGAAGCATGAAATCATTAAGACTATTTCATTGTGCTGGGTTTCTTCCCCCTATGGGGGAAGAGACAAACAGCTAAGTTCTGAGTGACTACACACACACATTGGGACAAGGCTACAAAGTCCATTTTATGAGTGATGTTTCACGTGATTTTCACAGCTTCCAGGGAAGAAGCCATTCCCATCATGTAGGTAAAGAATCTGCATCTCGCCCTGGCCGGTTTGGCTCAGCGGTTAGAGCGTTGGCCTGCGGTACAGAGAGACCCGGGTTCAGTTCCCGCTAAGGGCACGTATCTCGGTTGCAGTTTGTCCCCAGCCCTGGTTGGTCGTGCGGGTGGCAGCCACTCGATGTGTCCCTTCACGTCGATGTTTCTCTCTCTCTCTCCCTTCCTCTCTCTCCCTCCCACTCTATCTGTACAAAAAATGGAAAAATATCCTCGGGTGAGGATTAAAAAAAAAAAAAAAAGAATCTGCATCTCAGAGAGGTTAGGTAGCCTGGCTGAGCCTTTCCAGCCGGGAGGTGGCAGAGTGGGGGCTGGAACGTGGGCCTGACTCCAAACCACTGTAAGGACCCAAACAGAAGGACTTTTTAGTCCCCAGAAAGAAGAGGGTCACCTTATACCATCAGAGCCCTCACAAAGTCTCATATTATGAGGTCCTGGCTCAATTTTTATTTTAATAAAGTGTTGTTTGGGAACCGCACATTAGGCTGGAATGGACTTTGGTCAACACTGGTTTTGGAAGCTCGTTGAATTCTCCTGACCAAATTTGGTTTTAAAAAAGGTGTGTTGTGGGGGGAGTGGGGAGATCTTTAATACAGATTTAGTCATTATTCCTGAAAGTACGCTGCATGATTAAAGTGAGGCTTTATTTGAGATTTCTTTTTTAAAAAAATTTCTTTTTTAAGTGGTTATGTTGTGGAGATTATGAATAGGACAGTTTTTCACTGAAAAATTATACAGGGACCTAAGAAGTGCTCCATCTCAAACAGGTAGAAGGACATGAAATCAATGTGCTTTGAAAAGCTTAAGACCTTGATGTTGAAAATGAAAAGTTTGATTAGAATTGCTTCATGAAATGTGAGAGCATAAAACAAAGCAATATACCCAGATTAACATTTTATTTCTTATGGTTTAAATATATATGTGCAACTAAATTAGTAAATATTATAACTAAACATTTGATCATCATTCGTATTATATCAGATATCATATATTATCTGTAGATGTTTGATTATGTCATCTGTACATTCAGGTTGGCCAAAAATTGGGTGAGGAGGCTCCTCTCATTGGGAAATAGAGGCCACGGCGACACACTAAGTAGTTTTTCTAATCACCAGGCTGCAACCCACAAGGGGGGAGAAGCAGGTTTGTGCTGGAGCCACTGTGATGACAGTTACACACTGGCCCCTGTGCCGACAGGCAGCTCACGGGTTCCCCAGCGCTGCTGCGGCCTCACAGCCTCTTGGGAGGCAGAGTCTGTGGTTGTCCTGAATGTCCCTGAGGGCCCGTGTCTCCCCATGTCAGAGACTTGGGTGCAGGAAGAGATGTGACGAGACCGCTTTTCCCATCTCCCCAGGCGGCACTAGTGGGAGGGACCACCATGATCATCGGCCATGTCCTGCCTGACAAGGAGACCTCCCTTGTGGATGCCTATGAGAAGTGCCGGGGTCTGGCTGACCCCAAGGTCTGCTGCGACTACGCCCTCCACGTGGGGATCACCTGGTGGGCACCCAAGGTAACTGGAGTCCTGAAAGCAGAGCGAATGCTCTTGTAGCAGAGAGGCCATTTTGGGGGGTGCCAGCTGGGGTGTGGAGTCTCCCACAGGTGTGAGACACCCTCCCACCACCTTCCTAACTCCCCCAAATGCCGAAAGGTAAAACACTTATGGTTCAGTAAGGTAGTAGGTGGGCCTGTGCTGCCTAGTTTTAAAAGCCAGAGTTCCAGCAGGCTCGGGGTCTACGCGGGAGGGCTCCGGAGCGCTGGCTCCTGCCTCTGACCTCGGTGTCTCCTGACGCTTACTTACCATCACGTGTTCTGTGTGATACCTGCTGAGCGTGCTGCTGAGTCGTGCTCCGAGGGTCGTGTTGTTTTTGTGCTGACAGTGACAGCACTGAGCTGAGGTCTCAGAGTGGAGAGTCCTGTTCTGGCTCGGTGCTGCCTGTATGGAGGGACTGGGCACTTTCCCACCGGGACCCCGCTCCTGCTCTGAGAGCCCGGAGGCTGCTCCTGGTGTGTGGCTGGGGCTGGCTCCACTGAGCCCTTTCTCAGTTCAGCCTGTGCCCTGACCCCTGGCTTTGCTGTGGTCACGCTGGCCCGGCCCCAGGGCCAGAGTCAAGTCCCCTCTCCATGCATCCCCACTTCTTGCTCTTGCTGAAAACAGATACACAGGTGTGAGGCTCACCGGATCTCTTCCATTATTCCCAACCCAGGGCTTATGAAGGGCCTTGGAGCCCCAAGCCTCACACCATGAACCCCTCTGCTTCCGGTACCAGACTAAAGGTGCAGACTACGCCGAATGTCAGCCGTCTCTTATTTCAGATGGGGGCTTTGTCCATTTCGGATACCCTCTTGGACGGGTGACCCCTACACCCAAGGCTTTCTCATTCCCTCTCCCAGTGTTGGCCTGGAATAGAGGACCCAGTCAGATTCTCGGCAACACTGAGGCCAGGCCAGCAATCCCCAGAGGTTGTGGGGACTTTCATGCATCTAGAATTTTAAATTTATTTTTCTAATAATCAAATTTTATTTCCAACTACAATTTTTAAAATTAAAAAAGAAAGGAAGCCTATAATCGGGTCACTATTTGTTATTTAGTTATTTCCTTCCAGTTTTTTTTTTTTTTCATACGTGCTTTTTACATGGTAACTCTTTTGCTTAAAGTGAGCATTTTCTACTTGGCTGCATGGTCTTCATGAGCATCAGTGCAATGGCCACCTAACATTCTGTCAACTAGATGAAACTCAGTTTGCTTTCCTCTCATCGGACAATGTTGGGATGAATCTCCTTATTCACATGGCTTTGTTCCTAGATTAGATTTTCCCCAGGGTCTGTGAATTTTTAGCATTACTATGCCTCCTTTGTCACATCACTTCCATTATGGGGTCAGGGGAAATAGGCCATAGGAATAAAAGTTGTTAGTGCATTTACCGGTAAGGCTGGTGTGGAGTCAGAAACACAGGACAAGCCTATGTGGCAGGAGAAACATGCCTAGAAGGTGACGATTCAGTTCCTATATGTGTGTCACGCGTGACGATTTTCACAGTACATCTTCATCCATCTGCTCAGGGGCCCACCCAGCAGCGGGGAGGTGGGAGGAGAGTGAGATACTGGGAGGCTGCGGGGGTCGGGTGGTGACTCCACTGGCTGTGCCCCATCTCCGGCCGGCCCGCCCCTGCCGGTCGCCTTGTGAACATGTGTACTCACGGGCGCTGCCTTTGCATTTGCTCTCCAGGTGAAAGCAGAAATGGAGACGCTGGTGAGAGAGAAGGGTGTCAACTCGTTCCAGATGTTCATGACCTACAAGGACTTGTACATGCTTCGGGACAGTGAGCTGTACCAAGTGTTTCACGCTTGCAAAGACATCGGGGCGATCGCTCGAGTCCATGCTGAAAATGGAGAGCTGGTGGCCGAGGCAAGGCCGTAGACAATGTTGGGGGAGGGGGGCCAGGGCACCAACAGAGACCGTGCTCAGGTTGATTCCTGACCACCCGTTTCTACCCCACAACGTCCGGACAAAACATGTCAAAGAAAACGTGAGATGTTAACACCCCAGAGGACAAATCTTTGTCAGAAAATTCAAACTTTTCCACCGCCTGTAAAAAACAAATCTGTCTTTATAGTCCAGAAGGTTTCTAAGTTTTAAATGATGTCTTAATTCTAATGCGATCTTTAAATTCCATTATAGCAAAGGCATTTGGAGCAGCTCTAAGAAATATTTTAATGAGATTTCCAGCAGGGAAATTCTGACTTTCAAATCCATAGTGCTTGTCGTTGGTGTCCCAGGCTCCTTCTCTAGTTATGAAGCTGTATTTTTAAGAGGAAGCGATATTTCCAATTATTATAAGTAAGACTCAGGAGAACCTTCCTGAAAGGGAGCCCTCTCCTTACTCTGCCCTCTGCAGAAGGTAACATTACAGGAGTGAGAACAGTAGCAAGCCTATTAGAATGGACTGTGTCTAGCCCTGGCCGGTTTGGCTCAGCGGTTAGAGCGTCGGCCTGCGGTCCTGAGAGACCCGGGTTTGGTTCCCGCTAAGGGCATGTACCTCGGTTGCGGTTTGTCCCCGGCTCTGGTCAGTCGTGCGGGTGGCAGCCACTCGATGTGTCCCTTCACGTCGATGTTTCTCTCTCTCTCTGTTCCTCTCTCCCCCTCCTACTCTACCTGAACAAAAAATGGAAAAATGTCCTCGGGTGAGGATAAAAAAAAAAAAAAAAGATAGAATGGACTGTGTCTAGCATATGTTACTGTCTCTTGAGTTCAGTATTTTTTGGTGTCTCTATGATTCTTTCCATTTCCTTTCTTTTGCTGTTACGCAGGGTGCTAAGGAGGCGCTAGATTTGGGTATCACGGGCCCAGAAGGAATTGAGATCAGCCGCCCAGAAGAGGTGAGGAGGACCCCCGTGTGTCCTTTGTCAGCTTCTGTCCTGAGATGCACAGCATCTTTGGGATAGAAGAGACACCGATAAATATAAGTTGTGTTGTATCACTTTCTCCGTGGGTGAGGTTCCCAGGGGAAGCTTCTCCGGAACAGCTTCCCCCAGGCTGGGGCTGACTTGGCCTCATTTGACTGATTTCAAGGATCTGAGGGAGACAGTGTGGGCACACCAGGGACTACTTTACCCAAAACTGAGTCGGGAGAGAAAAGACAGACTGAAAAGGTGTGTTTCTTCAGATGTTAGAAGAAATTTCAGAGTATAAGCCAGTGACTCGGCGTTTGGGGGATAAGATCCCCTTGAGTATGTGAGGAAAACTTGGGACCCCTCCCACCGAAATGAGAGACGCCTGCTCCCTCCCCCTCGTGGCCTGATACTCACTGAGATGCTGATTAAGAGCCCTGCTCTCCTGCCCTCTGGTTTGACCCTCGTATAGTTTTGCAGGATGTCAGTGCAAATTCCCCAGGGATCCCAGATAAAGACTTCTGCTCTAGAGGGACCACATTAGATAGTGCCTTCTTGCTCTGTGACCCTGTTCAGACATCCCTGGCCATTTGTCAGGGCAAAGCTGTTTTCCATTTCTTCAAAGCCTTAAATGCAGAGTGGTGGTTGGATGTCCACAAGGCATTGATGGGGAGGCCTTGAGGGATGAGAAACCGGAGCAGGGTGTGACAGTACTTCTGACAGACAGGAACCAAGTCGGCCCATACTGGGTCAGCTGGAGCGGGGGGGGGCACCTTACTCCTCCCTGGGTCTGTCCCTGTCTGTCAGCATCCTTGAATATAGCTCCTGTTTTGACACCTAAGAACTGGTCAAGAAAGATGCACCAGATTCAGCCAAGTGGATCCTGCGCCTGTGAGAACTGGAGTGGGGGGGGCGGGCGCAGGAGTGGACTTTCTTGAGCTATGCGAGGGGAAGAGCAAAGCTTGGACTGCAGTGGTAGCAACAGGAAAGAGTAGCATCATCATCATCTGTTGGTTCAAGGGGAGGGTCCTGGATCTACACCAGGGGTAATTTTGCTCCCCAGGAGACATCTGGCAATGTCTAGAGATATCTCTTATTATTCCAACTGCAGGGTGGGGTGCTACTGACATCTAGTAGGTAGAGGCACGGGATGCTGCTAAAGATCCTACCGTCCCCAGAGAGCTCCCCACCACAATTATCCAACCCAAAGTGTCAATAGTACTGACATTCCGAAACCCTGACCCAGGCTGATTTCCAGCTTGAAATCAATCAGTATCGCTCCTCTCCTCCAGTGCTGAGGTGGCAGTGGAAGAATATACCAGAAGACGGGAGAGATGTAACTCCAGGTTCTCATTTGCTCTTGTTGCGTTGCCTTCTCATTAAGCCCTGAGTAGCATCCAGCAAGGATGTGCCTAATCTGCCAAGTCCTAGGATTCTGTCAGGGTGAGCAGAGGCGGTTGGAGCCTGGTGCCCTGCCTAGGGCTTGCCCCCACGCCAGCCTTGTGGGTGCAGTTGGTCCCTCTGGCTCGGTCAGACATCCCCGCAAGCTTGCTCCGAGGCGGGCTCTCGGGCAGGTGTGGGCTTGTCTGGGAGAGCTGGTGCAGCTTGTTTTCTTCCTGCCCTTTGTTTCTAACAGCTGGAAGCTGAAGCCACTCACCGAGTTATCACCATTGCAAACAGGGTAAGTAGACCCCCTACCCACCCACCAGAAGTCCGTTCTTGTATCTGGGATCAGAAACCAACCTGTACAGTGGAACCCCACTCTGTTCTGGGTGCCAGCAGCATGCTTGGCTCATAGAACCCCAACACTGTTTGCTGAATGAACGTTGTGATTCCCACAGACCAGGCAGGGGTCCTCCACCCCACTGAGCCTGGCTTCGCTGCTCAAGTGGAAAAGGCTCCCGGGGAGGCAGGGTGAGGGGCAGCACCACAGCCTCAGTGCAACTGGGCTTGCTGCTTGTCGAGGAAGAGGCAGACATCGTGCTTAGAGAACCATGACTAAACTGCTGCCTCTGGGCCATTCGTCATTTTTCCTCATGTGGTTTGGGGTAAAACCCTCTCAGAGTCGGGGCGCTGATACCTGTGGTGGTGGGACCCAGCCAGAGATGTGGGGCTTTTACCAAAAGCAAGCTCTCAATCCTATGCAAGCTACTCAACCACTCGGATCCACCATTTTATTACCTAAAACTAGAATGATAGCCCGGCGGGTGTGGCTCAGTGGATTGAGCGTTGTCCTGTGCACCAACAGGTCACCAGTTCGATTCCCGATCAAGGCACAAGCGCAGGTTGCGGGCTTGACCCACGGTAGGGAGTGTGCAGGAGGCAGCCGATTGATGTCCTCTCATAGATGTTTCTAGCTCTCTCTCCCTCTCCCTTCCTCTCTCTCTATAAAAAAGTCAAGAATATATATATATGTAATTAGAATAATAATATAACTCACTTCTCACAGGTTGGTTGTGAGAATCAAAGCAGCCATGGAAGGAAAAGCACTGCACGAAGATCATTTCTCTTTCTGACATTGGTTTGATCTGTTCGGACGATCTAGGTTACCTCCTAAGTGTTTTCTAAGTGTGGTCCCTAGGCCAGCAGCAGCAGCATCGCTTGTCAGAGATAGGAACGCAGAAATGCAACTCCTCGGGCCCATGCAGACGCACTGATCAGAAACGGGGTGACGCCCAGCAATCCAATTACTCCGCGGGCATTAGTGCTTGAGAACCTCTCCTCAGGGGAGACCCGGGCTACCTGGGAGGACGTAGACGTGAGGGTGTACTGTTAGGGGTGTCAGGGGAAACAGATTGGAAGTCTGGCTGGTCTCAGGATGAGCGAGCTTGTGCCAGTACACCAAACGTCAGGCCAGCTCCTAAACTCCCTGTCCTAATTTCATCAACAAGGAAGGCATCAGAATAACATTTGGGAAAACACAGTCTCCCATTAGCAGTTTATAAGTCTGGAGGCTGGATAAGGACATTGGTTTACTGTCATAACAGTCGTTGTATTAGCAGTTATTTCCTGACGGAAAATTACCCTAGCATAAGGAAGGATTTGAACAACAAAAGAGCAGCTCCTCGTTGTTTAACTCCAACATTTGCCCAGAGAAGTTAAGCCTTGGACCTTGGTCACACAGCTTGGTAGAGGACAAGCTAATCAATATTACAATCCAGCCCTGGCCCTGGCTGGTTTGGTTCAGCAGTTAGAGCATCGGCTTAAGGATTGAAGGGTCGAGGGTTTGATTCCCAGTCAAGGGTACATACCTGGGTTACAGGTGTGATCCCCAGCCCCAGTAGGGGTTGTGTGGGAGGCAACCAATTGATGAATCTCTCACATTGATGTTGCGCTCTCTCTCTCTCCCTTCCTTCCACTCTATCTAAAAATTAATGGGAAATGTCCTCAGGTGAGGGTTAACAAAAAAAAAATTACCATCCAGTTGTCTGTAAGACTTCTCCTGTCTGGTATAGACTTGAACCCTGAATGAACCCTTTGTTTTTTAAAATATGTTTTTATTGATTTTTTTAGAGAGAGAGAAACATCAATCAGCTGCCTCCTGCACATCCCCTACTGGGGTTCCAGCCCATAACCTGGCAGGTGCCCTGACTGGGAATCAAACCAGGACCTCTCAGTCCATGGGATGATGCTCAATCCACTGAGCCATACCGGCCAGGCTGTTTTTATTGATTTTAGAGAGAGACAGAGAAACATCAGTGTGAGAGAGAAACATTGATCGGTTGCCTTCTGTATGCGCCCCAACCTGGGATCAAACCCATAACCTGGATATGTGCCCTGACTGGGAATCAAACCTGCCACCTTTGGTGTACAGGATAATGCTCCAACCAACTGAGCCACCTGGCCAGGGCTGAACATGAAATTAAAATAATCCTTTGTTAAATTATAAATAGCCTTTTGTTGGTTGGTAGAAGATGTGAGGTTCAGCTCTCAACATCTTGCCCACGTTCCCGCTGGGCTCCGGTGCTGGGTGCTGCCTGCTCCTCCTTGCTTCACCCACTTCCCCTGCAGCTTGTGCTCTGGCTGCCAGTACTGCACCCCAGCACTGCAGCATTAGACCGGCACCCTGAGGGGGAGATGCCAGGGCCAAGGTTGATTTGGCCAGGGTGATGTTGGTGCTTGTTAGCTTTATGGGGTTAATACTTTCTTCTTCCCAACATGTTTTTGTGTTTAGACTCACTGTCCAATCTACCTGGTCAACGTGTCCAGCATCTCGGCCGGTGATGTTATTGCAGCTGCTAAGATGCAAGGTGAGTCCCTTGAGCTGGGACGGACAGGGCACAGATGGTGGATGGACGGGGCATGGATGGTGGGACTGGAGCCGGGTGGAATCCACCAGCTCCCTGCACTCCATGGCCCGGCTCCCGAGGTCCCGCCCTGCTCCTGCCCTTCCTCCTCTCTACCAGTCTTCCCCAGAAGCACCCTACACTAGCCTGGGTTCAATCCATTAGAGTTAGAGGGTTCGTCTGCACATTTATATGCATAACAGCTTTACAGAAGTGTCTGTCACCTCTTCTGGGTCCAGCAAAATTTTTCAAGTTTTCAGTTGACTCACTAATTGGTATCTTTTTGGCCTCCTGAGTGTTACTGGTGGTTGCCTTGTAACTAACATGAAATCCTGGACCAGTTCCAATGGACATTTAAAGGGATGCCTGGGATGTCCCTAGAGAAATAACAGTGTGCGGGTCCAACTTCCCTTATAGCCACCTGGAACCCTGTGTACGAGCCCTGGGCACCTGTTGTGACTCCTGTTGCGAGCATCTGGCAACACCTGAAGGCTTTGTACTTGCTTACAATGCCAGCCTGGCTCAGGGTGCCAGTCAGGTCCTGGAAACAGGAGAAATAGTCATCATGGTCGTAAACCTGGGGGTATAAACAGGAGGAAGGGCTCCTGGCCTCCACTATTCTGCCTCCCGACGATCCCACCTCCATCTCCCTGCCCTCTAGCCCCTGCTGCGGACCTCACCCCCAGCGATTCTCCTCATGGTGCTCACAGCACCTGCCTGCTCAGAAAACAGTCCGGACCGCCCCTAGCGTGGCATTCACGGCCCTTCATCCTCCCATCAGCACCCTGTAGCACCCATGCTCCGGCCAATTGTGCTCCTTGAAGCGCCATCAGTGCTGCCTCGCCTCTGACTTTGCCCTTCTGTTCCCCTTGCCTGGATTCAGTGGGGGGATCGGGAGCACTCTGGCCTTGAACCCGGCTGCGCTCTCAAACACCCAGCTGAGCTTAGGCAAGTCCTTTCCTCTCTCTGACTCCGCCTCCATCACCTGTCAAGTGAGAGGTCCAGACTACGATCCCTCAAGTTCGCTGGCTTCCTAGTTATGGCTTGACCCTTCTTCTTCCAGGGAAGGTTGTGCTGGCCGAGACCACCACTGCGCATGCCACGCTGACAGGCTTACACTACTACCATCAGGACTGGTCCCATGCGGCCGCCTACGTCACAGTGCCTCCCCTGAGACTAGACACCAACACCTCAACCTACCTCATGAGCCTGCTGGCCAAGTAAGACATTTTAGCACGACCATCGTAGCCCCATATCATGTCATTGACTCGGTGCATGCCGTTCCAGGAATCTAGATCCTTAAGGTGATGTTGCAGAGGCCCCAAGTCTGACCTAGTTTGGTTTCATTGCGCCGAGAGGATGATCTTGCTTTTGTGACCTTCTCCAGAGCCCATCAGATCACTGCCATCCCACTGGGTCCCTGTGACCACCTGGTATGGAGGGAGGGCGTCTGTAAGAGTTAAAGGCTCATGTAGACTGAGAAGCGGTATGCAGAATTTCAGAGGACATTGATATCTTACACTGAAGACTGCTGGGGAACTGGAGGGTGTGGCCTCTGGCTTACCCTGGAATATGTGGGGACCTTTCTCCCTCTTCCTGTTCTTTGCCTCTCCGTCTCATTGTTTCGTGTGTGGTTTTCTCACCGTGGGTGTACTTTTCTCCTGCGTTTCACCCTCTTTCTTTCTCCTTTTTCTTCTGCACTTCCTCCCTCTATCCCTTCACACTCTCTCCAGACCTCCTTTGTCCAGCTTCTCTTTTTCTAACACTGCTTTCCCCTTTGGATCCTACCCTACAGGATATGGTTTAACGAACGGTCTGAATTTGGTGGGACCCAAACATGAAAAGACTTTGTTTTGTCCCAGTAACTGCTCGCAACATTGTTCTTTGCTCTAGTGACATTTTGCGTAAAATTAATTAATTCATTAATTTTTACAAAGAATAGATGGGGTGAGGTGATTCTTCTCCACACTCAAGCACACTCCTGCGTTAGTTATTGCTGCTTCTCAAGCTGAAAGTGAGTGGCCTTTGGGCCTCCCTTGTGCAGGGAATGTGCCCACTGTGGGCCCTCTCATGCCACCTTCACATAATCCCCTAGTATAGGAGGTGGAGTCCAGCTTGGCCTCTTCTACCTGTACCATCGCAGCTTCCGGAACCAGCAGTGTCCCTGTGGACAAGGACCCTGGCATTGCCTGGCCACCTTCTACAGTGTCTGGGTCTTGGAGGAAGCCCACGCAGCTTTGCCACTCTCTACAGTGGAACGGCAGGCTGTCCCCACTGCACCGACCCCCCCCCCCCCAGGGCCTGAGAGACAGGCCCGCCAGTCCACCTCCCAGGCACATGCCCCCTGCTGTCACCTCTGTGCTCCACAGGTGAACCCCTTGAAAACCTTCCCCTCCTTTTGGGTAGACTGGTTGGGGAGAGGGGGAAGCGCCACTCAACCCATGAAAAGAGGAAGGGACTTCTCATTCTGCCAACACCCTAGTGTCCCTTTCTGTCTTCGGCTTTTATAAACCTGGGGGTTTGTGATCTGCCTCTTCCAGGCCAGTGGTGGAGGGAGTTGAGGGAAGTGACCAGCCCCAGTTGAAGGTGGCTGTCTTTAGATAATGGAGCACTTATTTTATCCATGTCCTTAGTTTTCAGTTCTGAATGCTAACAACTAGAAAATTCCCACTCAACAGCCTGCTGTGTTAACTACATAAAGAGTGGCTCAAGGGATTGAGCATTGTCCCATGGACTGAGAGGTCCTGGTTCGATTCCCAACCAGGGCACATGCCTGGGTTGCGGGCCCGGTCCCCAGTAGGGTGTGTGCAGGAGGCAGCTGATCGATGTTTCTCTCTCACATCAATATTTCTCTTTCTCCCTTCCTCTCTCTAAAACATCAATAAAAACATTTTTAAAAAGAATGGTATGGAGTGTGGGGCTTTCCAAATACTACTGGAGCGCAGTAGCAGGGTCCCAGGACAAAGGTGGCCCCTGGAGGTGGTGGTGGCACCGTGGCAGTGATTGTGTTCTGTCTCGTAGTTTTGCTGTGATACCGAGCAGCAGCCCTTAAACAGATTAGAATAAATGAAAAGAGCAAGAGAGGATGAAGGAAGAAATAAATGCTAGATCAGCTGTTACTTTTAAAAATGCTTTTTGAGCCCAGCCAGTGTGGCTCAATGGATTGAGCGTTGTCCCATGGACTGAGAGGTCCCAGTTCAATTCCCTATCAGGGCACGTGCCCAGGTTGCAAACTCAATCCCCAGTGTTTCTCTCTCACATTGATGTTTCTGTGTCTCTCTCCTTTCCTTTCTCACTAACAACTATATATATATACACACACACACACAATGCTTTTTTGATGGGAAAAACCATTATTATCAATACAACAAAAACAAACAAGGATCAAGAACCTCCTATAATAATCTGGGCTTGGTTCCAAGGTCAAAGAATCTTCTGAAATGTCTCTGCTTGCTACCAGCAAATTTACTGAAAGAATTCAAAGGTAGTAAATGCTCCAACCCACTGGAAGGACAGTGCCCACACCCACACAAATGCAAATAGGCCGGGGGAAAGTATTAATTGAATAAGTTATGTTTTTATATCTAGCCTATTTTGTCAAATTTATTTAAATAAATGTTATTTTTTTAATAGAATTGTAATTTCATGTAAACTACTATGAGAATAGTTTGAGTCAGTGCATATGGTAAATGTGTACAATTGTATAGAATTTGGAGCATAGTTTTAACATTTTAGTTATTTATAGGAATTTGTGATTACTGTAATTTTGTTTTTATGACACATGTTTGGTGATAACTGATATTATGCGAAGCTTCTACTTATCTCCAGTGGGTTTTGCAGGCCTGGGAGATGTGGGGAGCCCTCGAGGACCCTGGGAAAAGCCCTGTCTCGGTGGAAGAGTCCCTCCCACAGGCTCTGAGAAGGCCCAGAGCAGTGCCTTTGGCCCAGGGAGATGGCAGCCCATGCCGCAGGCAGAGCTAGGCCATCTCACTGTGGGTGTGACCAAGGATATCAGTCATTTGGCCCAGGGAGATGGCAGCCCATGCCGCAGGCAGAGCTAGGCCATCTCACTGTGGGTGTGACCAAGGATATCAGTCATTTGGCAAGAGCTGTGGCTGATGAGCCCTTTCAGGCCTCCAGTGGAGAAAGCCCACTGACCCGGGACATCTGAGCCCTAAGAATATGCCTCTTCCCCAGGGGAAATATATCTTCGCTCCCAGAGTCCCCTTCTTACGTGGGCATCTTTGATGGCCCATGTGCACAAAGCTATGGTGTCTCCAAGTAAAATCAGACTCCCAGGTCCCCAGTGTGTGGTCCCAACAGTTGTCCTTCTCTCCCATATGACCCCCATGCTCCATTCAGTCCCCTCCCTGCCCTCCTAGGGTGTTTCCTCCTGAGGTTGTCCTATCCTGGGTGACATAAGCATGCTCTTTCCTCTGCTCCTCACCATGTCTGAGGCCTACAGAGATCTCTGCACATGGGCTGGCTGGCTGCCTCCCTCATTAGGTAGAGGGTTTGCCACCATGCACACTCTCTCACCGTCATCTCTGCCCCGAGTTCTTAGCTAACTCAAGAGCCCCTGGAGCCCAGCCATGCCTTAGCCATGCATCTGAGATGCTGGTCATGGATGGCAGTAACAGTGAACCAATTGACTTGCATACCACCACTGGCTTATTAAGGCAAACTTTTCTTCTGTCTTGTCCCTCCTGTCTTCCTCTGGGCCATTAGAGCCCCCACACCCAAGGAAAGCTATGGCTTCAAGGTATTTGCAAAGCTTAATGTTGAACTTGCGTGTTTTACCAAGTACATGTTTGTTGCCAGCAGGGACTGGCGGCTGAGGAAGGAGATTAGAGGGAGTTTGCGTATGGTTCCATGATGGTAAAACTACCTCTGCCCTCTCCTCTGCCCTCCACTTTAGCTAAACTCTTAAGGTTAATTTTTCTCTACCTGCTATTTTAACTCTTAGAAGTCAACATCCCTAAGACATCTCAATGTCTCCTGTGGGAGTGATGGTCTGCCACACTCAGTACCTATTCCCATTCTGCAGATGAGTACACTGAGCTTCTCAGTTTTTTTGTTTTGTTTTGTTTTTTTACCTTTACCCGAAGACATTTTTTCCATTTTTTGTTCAGATAGAGTGGGAGGGAGAGAGAGAGAGAGAGAAACATCGACGTGAAAGGGACACATCGAGTGGCTGCCACCCGCATGACCAACCAGGGCCGGGGACAAACTGCAACCGAGGTATGCGCCCTTAGCGGGAACCAAACCCGGGTCTCTCTGGACCGCAGGCCAATGCTCTAACCACTGAGCCAAATCTGCCAGGGCAGTTCTCACAGTTTAAGTAACTCGTTAGAGGTCATACAGCTACTAAGTAGCAGAGATTGAAATCAGCTTTGAATGGTTCTTAAGCAAAGACTTTTTTCCTGTACCTGTCACCAAACACTGGGACCCTGGCCTTCTTCCCTTCTCTCTACCCAGTGATACTCTGAACATTGTGGCATCAGATCACCGGCCTTTCACCACAAAGCAGAAAGCTATGGGCAAGGAGGACTTCACCAAGATCCCCCATGGAGTGAGCGGCGTGCAGGACCGCATGAGTGTCATCTGGGAGAGAGGCGTGGTATGTTCTCGGGAGCCCCTCCCCACTCTGTCCGAGTAAGAGTTTCACCCTTAGGAGGGCTGGGTCAACCACAGCTCCTGATTTCTCTCAAAAACAGAACCAAGAAGACCTGATCAGAAAGGTAGTAAGGCCTAGTTTAGAAATTTGAAAAATACAGAAAAGTATTAGAAAAAAAACTCCCACAATTCCAAACCAAGAAATTAAATTTAGTATTTTGGTATGTTTCTTCCTAGTTCTATGATGTACTATACATTCTTTTACTAACTGGATCTATCCCTTGTTTTTCATATGACACATCCTGAGGGTCTTCCTATATCAGTAAAAATTCCTTAGAACCATCTTTTTTAGTGGCTAAATAATATTTTCTCCAGTGGAAGTATCATACTTCAGTTAATCCTCTCCTGATGTTTGGCACTTGCAGCTGTTTCGAATTCTTGCACTTAAAAACGAGGCCACAGAGAACTTTGTTCACGAGTATATGTCAGCTTTCTAGTTATTTCCTGAGGACAGATTCCTAGGATTGGATTTCTGAGCCAACGGATATGAACATTTTAAGGCTCTTGATATATCTGTTCAGTTACTTTTCAGTAGAGATAGGGACTGGGACTTCTGCCCATGTAGAATATGTGTTGTTAGTCTTAACCTATCTCAGACCAGATGCAGCATAGAGTATGAGCCCAAAGAGCTTTGACATCTTCAAGACTAAGCCACCGCTTAGGGAGGACCCATGAGGTAGCTCAGGAATCCTTTTTGAAGAGAGTCCATGACGCTGTCATGGGTGGGTGGGGCAATAAGATGCTTTACCAGAGCACAGAATGTATGTCCCTCTGTGGGTGAGGGAGGCTGCTGACTCATCCACAGCAGGCACATGAGCAGAGCTGGGTTTACAACCAGGAGGTAGATCTCCACCAGGTAGGCAGCCGTTTGGGACGAGGGCCCGCTCACTGTTGTTGCTGGATGAAGGAGAAAGAAGCAAGCGAGTGCCTGGAACCAAGCCAGGCCGGTTGGCTCCTCTGAAATGGTACCCATGATACTGTCCACCTCGGCACCATTGTTCTGACCAACTAAAAGGCCACAGGCCAGAGCCAAGGGTGACTGGGGTTGGGGGCACACGGGGCCTGGTTGACTTGTCGCTTCTGCAATGTCTCAGGTCGGAGGGAAGATGGACGAGAACCGTTTTGTGGCCGTCACCAGTTCCAACGCAGCCAAGATTCTCAACCTGTATCCCCGCAAGGGCCGCATCATCCCGGGAGCTGACGCCGACGTGGTGGTGTGGGATCCAGAAGCCACAAAGTAAAACCTGCTGCTGGTCTCCGGGGCTAGGGGACTTGGGGTTTTAGGGAACCTGTATTACAGAACTCCAAAAGCATCTCATCTTTGCACTACTTCTAGCATAGAAAAGTGTGACCCTGAGGTGTGTTCAATGTAATAAATATTTGAGGGCCTCCCATAATCCAGGCACTGGGAATACAATGTTGAACAGCTCCATCTGCAAGGGTTTCAAAGCTGCTTCGCCCAATTATCTCAAGTTCTTATTTCCATTTTACTATTGAAGAAACCAAGAGCAGAGAGTAGAGGGACTCCCCACATCACGGAGCTAGTAAGTGGCTGAACCGGACAGGCAGCCTAGCACTCAGTTCCAGGCTCTTCCGTCCTCTGCCTCTCTCACTGAGGGTGTGACTCCCTGGGCGCAGCTGAATGAATACGTGAGGTGTGTCGGGGGTCCCACCGCAGGGTTAGAGCATCATTTTCACTTGGACATTTGGGCAGATGGGAATCTTTATTAATATAAAATTTTATTCGGTCAGCAAATACAGGGGTGGGCAAAAGTAGGTTAATAATAATAAGTAGTATAATAATCAATAAATAATAACATAAGAATAAACTCTGTGTTTAGTGTACCTTGCCCACCCCCGTGTTTGTTAAGTGCTAGTGTTTGGCAAGCACTTTTCTAGGTGCACAAGCTAGTCGTGAGCAAGACAGACAAAGTGTGCTGGGATGTTCAGAATTAAAGTTGGATTACAAAGAAAGTTCACCCTGAGCACCACCATCCCTGTGCCAGGATCCCCACACTGTCACCTCTACTGGGGCCTCTGAGAAGCCCTTTTCTGCATCCTGACGCCAGGGGCCGGTCCCTGTCCCCGTAATCGGTGTGCCTGTTAGTGATTGCTGTTGGTGGAAAGACCCCTAGACTTTAGCCCAGTGTGTTAGTGTGCCAGGCCTGTTTTAAAAAATACCACAGCTTGGGGGCTTAAACAACAGAAGTCTGTTTTCACACAGCTCTGGAGGCTAGACGTCTGAGATCAGTGTTGCAGTGTTGATTTCATTCTGAGGCCTCGCTTCTTAACTTGTAGATCTCTCTTCTCCCTCTTCACATGGTATTTCCTCTGCATGTGTCCTGGTATCTCAATTTTCTCTTCTTACAAGGACACCAATCAGATTGGACTAGGGTCTGTCCATATGACCTCATCTTATTTTAATTAGCTGTTTAAAGGCCCTGTCTCCAAATACAGTTACATTCTGAGGTACTGGGTGTTAGGACTTCAATATATAAATTGGGGTGGGGGGGACACAATTCAGCCCATAACAACCAGCCTTTGGGGGATCTTTCCTCCCCACTGAGCATCTTCCCTTCCCTCTGAGCATCCTCCCTTTCCTATGATCCTCTTCCCTTACCTCTGCGTACCTTCCCTTTCTGCTGAGCATTTTCCCTTTCCTCCAAGCATCACTCCTTCCCACTGACTATCACCCCTTTCCACTGAGTGTCACCCATTCCCACTGAGCATCTACTCTTACCTCTGAGCATCCTCCCTTTCCTATGATCCTCTTCCCTTACCTCTGCGCACCTTTCCTTTCTGCTGAGCATTTTCCCTTTCCTCCAAGCATCACTCCTTCCCACTGACTATCACCCCTTTCCACTGAGTGTTACCCATTCCCACTGAGCATCTACTCTTACCTCTGAGCATCTTCCCTTTCTACTGAGCATCTTTCCTTACCTCTGAGCGCCTTTTCTTCTCTCTGAGCATCACCCATTCTCACTGAGTATCACCCCTTCCCACTGAGCATCTTCCATTCACATTGAGCTGTGGCATCTTTACCTCTTCTCAGAGCTTTCTCTCCCACCACTTCCCTCCCGCCAGGACCATCTCAGCCAGCACCCAGGTGCAGGGAGGAGACTTCAACCTCTACGAGAACATGCGCTGCCATGGCGTGCCGCTGGTCACCATCAGCCGGGGCCGGGTCGTGTATGAGAACGGTGTCTTCATGTGTGCCGAGGGCACCGGCAAGTTCTGTCCCCTGAGGTCCTTTCCAGACACTGTCTACAAGAAGCTGGTCCAGAGAGAAAAGGTAAAGTGAGGGAGGGGGAAGAAGATGTGTGGGAAGAGGTAGAAGCCCCCTGTTAGGAACATCTCATAGGATTGTTTTAAATCTCAAAGATGTTCTCACTTCGTTTTCCCACCAAATCCTGTTGCCTGGAGTGGTCACTTTGGAAACAAGAAATAGTAGGGAAGAAGCACCTGTAACAAAGTAAAATGTACTGGGAAGGGTCCCCAATTCCCCTGGAGCTGAGGGAATACTAGGAGCTGCTCACGGCTGTCCCGACATCTGGTCTCTGGGAGGACTCCTGCCACCCATCAGGACAAAGGATCCCTTCTTGGCCTGGAGTTGCTCTTCTCCCCCCTGACTGCAGTAGGCTGGGTGGGCTTTGCTGAATCCGGCCCCCCCAACACTTAAGTGGTCAGGCCTGGAATAGTTCATTTCTCAAGGGTCACAGCCAGTCCTCGGATTCCGTAAGCACCTTGGGTGTATCCCGTCCTCTGGGGAGACACGTCTACCCAAAAGAAGGCTGGCTATTCCCTCACTGCTTGGGGATTGATGTCCAGCTTATCTTTGAGCGCTGCCTAGAGAATCTGGCCTGAACCCTTATTGACAGCTCCAGGTGCTGGGACCTGCAGCCCTGGCTTCTGAGTGGAGATCTTAAGGCATCAGAAAAGAGAAAGTCTGATGAACGGACCACAGAAAGCATCCTGCTCTTTCCCCTCCCCTTTCTCTGGCCTAAAGCAGTATCACTGTGGCTTCAAAATGCTCCTGCCCAGCTGTTTCCAGATGCTGTCTAACAGGGTTGGTGCTCGTACATGGACCACAGCCGAGGGCCCAGGCCCCAGCCCTCACTGGGTGTGGCAGCTCTTCCTGCCCAGGCTCTGGGATGCCACTGGATCATCATGGCACACTTAGGAGACAGCAATCATTTTGAAAATTTTTAAAAATGTTTTCTCACCCAGCATCTCCTATAGCCTGTTTTTTTTCCCTCTCGCCCAGCACATCCCAGTCTTGTATGCACAGCAGGTGTTTAATCTATCTTCTGGAGGTAGTAGCAGTGAGGGTTTCTGGGTGAATCAGGAAAACTACACAGTCTGGCCTGTTAGTCAGCTTCTTTACAGTCCAGGGAGGGAGACCCAGTAAAACCGTCTGCATTTTAGCCAGAGGCCCTAAGGAGCAGCTCAGGGGTCCAGTTTCCAGGCCCCTTCCGGGTGATCTCTCCACCCCCACTTGACCCCCGTGTTGTGATCACTGCCAGCTCCCCATTTCCAGGTCCCGTGCTCTCCACTCGTGACCGGCTCTGACTTCTAGCAGTCGACCAGAGATTTGAAGGACCTTGGCTGAAAAGACTCGGCTGCCCTATCACTGAGCTCTAGAAATCTGCTTAATAATATCGAAGGAATAGGCCTTTTAAGAGCTGTCTCTGGCTAGGTACACTTGCTGCTATCACCCAAACTTTCTTATGATCTGAGTTCTCTAATCCTTTATGAAAAGCCAAGTCCTTTGTCCAGTTCCTCAGGCCCTCCCACCCTTGTTCCCTCCTCGAACCACCCGGAGGCTTTCAGGAGTAGCTCCTTCGGACTTTGCTCTCCCCGTTTTCTGAACACCGCGCGCTCCTGCTGGCCTGTGTGCCCCAGCCCTGGGATGACCCAAAGACCAGAAGGAAGGAAGTGTCCGTCGGGCGGGGTGGTGGGCAGGTTGGCCTTCATGCTCTGTCCGGGCCCCCCAACCAGGACTTCATTTCACCCTGAGCCCGGTCCTCAGTGGAGCCCCTCTGCCACAAGTCCAGTCACAAGAACCACACTCTGATTTCACAAACGTCCACCTGCCCTGTGCGGAGAGGGAGGGCGTGGTGGAGCAACGGGAGTGCCGGCGTCGGATGATGCTGGCTTCCACTGCCCGCCTTTGGCTACCAGATGGCACTTTAAGTGATCAGGCACAAGAGGGATTCATGAGGGTGTCTGACCACTGAATTCGTGATTCGCAAGCTGGGAGCCTTGAGGTACTGCCATTGCTTGGTTCCCTCCACTCTAGATGGAAAAAATGGATATTTGAAAAACAATCCTCTAAAGAATGAAAGTAAACAGGTCACATTTACACCGAAAGAGCAACCGCTGGCGCTCACTGGGGTTCTCCCAGGGCCGTGGTTCAGACCAAGCTTGACATTCTGGAGGCCGAGCGGAGCTGCAGATCTGTTGTCGGAGAGTATAAAGGAATATGTAGCCTGCAGGGCCTTCAGGAAATCACCCAGATCTGTTGTTTCTCTCAACAAGATCGGCAATCAGCATCAGGCAAAAAGGGCTTGTAGTCTGTCCCCGACCAGTGCCTGGGGAGGAGGTCATCTGTGCTGCTCCTCCAGACCTTATGCACACACTCGAACACACTTCCTCCTCGTGGTATCACTTTTTAATATGATTACACACCTTTACATGACCTCTGCAGTAACAGCTGCTGGTCTTTATATGTCACTTGCCATGTGCCAAAGCTGTTCTAAGAGATTTACATATATTATTTCATTTGATTTTATAACATCTCTATATGTGGTACTAATAGGTACTGTTATCATCCTGGTTTTACAAATAAGGAAATGGGCACAGAGAGGTTGAGTAACATGCACAAGATCATACAGCTTATAAGTAACAGCTGGGATTGGAACCTAGGCAGTCTGCAGAGTGTAGGCTCTTAATTCTACAGCCCTTGTGAGTACAAAATTAAATAGTATTGCTGCTGGGGGACTCTGATCTGCAAATTGACTGTATTGAACTGCTATCCTCACAAAGTTGTCAGATCACATGTGAGGGGAATTCCATTGCTCAATGTGAGGGGTGCTCTGTAAGGCTGAATATCTCAGAAGTCTACCAGCTGCCTTGGAAAAAATTCCACCAATACTGAGGGGATGCCAGTGGGCATCTCCTATGCACTCACACATGCGTGTACACACACGTGTGCAGGGGTGTGCGCACACATGCACTGTTTAGAAGGTACAAGAACGGAACTCTCCACCCCTGTGCTCAAGGTATAGGAAGCCTTTGTCACAGTAATTTGGGTCCTGAGCAGAATGGCAGGATCTGGAGTCCTCTCAGCCATCGAGGAGGCTCTGGTGGTGGTGTCTGGGCTCTGATGGTGTCTTTTCCCTTGTCCTCCGCCCTTCACTAGACCTTAAAGGTTAAGGGAGTGGACCGTACTCCCTACTTGGGGGATGTAGCTGTCGTAGTGCATCCTGGGAAAAAAGAGATGGGAACACCGCTCGCAGACACTCCTACCCGGCCCGTGACCCGACATGGGGGCATGAGGGACCTTCATGAATCCAGCTTCAGCCTCTCTGGTAAGAGCAAGGGCCACTCGGACTGGCGCCTGCATCTCCACCACGGGGGTGGCGGGAGGAGGCTGAAGGGCCAGGAGGCCCAGCCAGGCAGTGGATTTATGCTGCTTTTCCCCTTGTCTTCCTCCCCTGTCACATGTCCAGTGATGAGTGCTAGGTCCAATTTTAACCACACATACATATTGGGGGGCAGGAGGGCTCTCCCAGTCCCTAGGCACGGGCTGCAGGAGAGTCTCCCCATGGTTTCTGTTTTGGTCCCTTGAAACATCTTGAGGGCCATGCACACAGGTGGTGCCCCAGAGATGGTCCGAGGTCAGGAAGGTTAACCCTCTCTGTGCCACATGGGATTGTACCCTCATTATCCTCCCTCACCTATTCCCACGTTTGCTCCTCCCCCACCTCTTTTGCTAGGAATTGTATTACATGTAAAACAATATATAATATATGGAGTGTGTCTGTGTTCAGGAACTTTACTGTCAGCAACTGGTATCCCAGCTGTTCTGCAGTAGTTAAGGGGCGGGGGTCACTGCCCCATTAATGTCAACCTTCAATGGAGAACAAGCAGAGGCTGTACAATGCTGGTCTGGCATAGCTTTGATGGAAGCTGTCAGCACCGGAAAGGGGTGTGGCCGGGCCTCCCTGAACAGCCTTCCAGACGAGCCCAGGTGCAGACCTAGCCCAGGTGCAGACCTAGCCCAGGTGCAGACCTAGCGTGGGCTACAAGTGCTGTGCGGAGCCCCGAACAGCAGAGGATTGAGACCCTTTCTCCTGGAGTGTGGCGCTCACTGGGGGACATGAAACCTGCACACAAACCCTCCTAACCTGAGGCAAGGGCTAAACCAGGGGGACCTCTGTGCCCAGCTGCATGCTGGGGGCAGCTCCAGACAGAAGTCATGTGGTTCTTGTTTGAGGAACTGATAGCCTATGAGGAGGGGTCCTCTCCACCACCCCCCTCCCTCTCCTTAACTGCTCCCCAACCCTGAGGGCCACTGCCACTCCCACCAGCGATGGCACGAGTGCAGGAAGTCAGAAAGGGTCCATGGTGTGGAGCTCCGTGGGCACTCGGGCTTGCCAGTCCAGGTGTGGATTCCCATGGCTGCCCGGGCAAAACCCCAGACTATGGGCCCCGCTGGCCATTGGCTTCGTCTATTACCACCCAGGTCTTGGGGCAGAGCCAAGACTGAGCAGAACTCAGTCTCGGCCAACATTACGCAGCCTCCCACCTTCCTTCTGCCCCAAACCTTGTCTGTTCTAGATCAGACAGGCTGGCGACTGTCCCTCTGCACTCCCTCGGGCACCGGGCCACTTCTAACTAAATCGGATTTCAAGATGTGGGGACCTTCAGGGTGTGGTTCTTTGTTTTTCTAAAACAATGAAGCCTCCTTTCCTTCTTTCTCCCTTATTCACTGAGGCATATGGACAAAGACCCACTTGCCAATCCATAGTCCGAGTTCCCAGCAAGAGACCATATGTCCAGGCTTGGGAGCTGTGAAGGCGGCGGAGCAGGGCAGTCAATCATGGAAGTTCTGAATCAGGAAGACCTGGGTTCAAATCCAGGCTCTGCCACTCACACACTGTAACACTGGGCAAGTCACTTAACTTCCCTGAGCCTGTTTCCTTATCTGTAAAGTGGGGTGGAGTTGTGAGGATTAAAGTAGATCATACACACGGAGGGCCTACCAGCCTCCATCAGTAGAGGTGGCCGTGCTTTTATGACCTACACGCAGCCCAGCTCACCTTCTGCTTCCTCCCCTGCAGGTTCTCAGATCGATGACCACGTTCCAAAGCGAGCTTCTGCTCGGATCCTCGCTCCCCCCGGAGGCAGGTCAAGCGGCATTTGGTAAAGGCACTGACCAGTCTCCCCACCCCAAGTGAGGACGCACCGCTGCCACCAGCCCGCACACCCTCCTGCTGCAGCTGCAGGGACAGGAGAGGCTGGGCTGGGCAGCTCACCACCTGAGGGGCCACAGGACCCGGGAGCCCTCCCCATGTCTGACACGTGATTCACTGTGCTTCGAGCGACCCTAACAGGCACTTTGAGATGTGTTCCTCCTGCTGCAGTCTTTTCCTGCCCTGGCCTCGTGGGGCCCAGGAAGCCCACTATGCACAGAGCCCAACGCATAGAGCCCGGCCCAGTCCCTCCTCTCACACCTGCCTCCACGTGCTGGCTTCAGGAAAGCCCAGACTTGAGTGCCCTGCCCCTGGCTGGCTCGCCAGTTGTCCAGAGCACTTTAGCAGATGTGTTTTAACAGGACTCCTTTCCCCATCCCCTTCGGCCCCGTGGTCACCTCTCAAGTTAGACAGGTGTTAGATGCCCAGCCATGCCCAGAATGTCCTGTTTCTCCTGACTCAACTCTGACCCTGTGTGGATGGGGTTGGGACACCCTGGGTGTGGGTGTGGTTGGGACACTCTGCGTCCTTTGCCAGCTTCTTTGTCTCCCCACCCCGCCCTCTGGGAATCACACCCAGAAGGGCTAGCCGGGCGGGATGCAAGGCTGGTGCCAGGCGCGTGTACATGATTTTGTTTTGCACGTTTGGTTTGCGCAGTGGTTTGGTTTGACTTGTTTGTGCATCCTGTGAAAAATAACGGTGCTTTGTGTCATAGCATAGCATAGAAACAGGAGTAGATGTGGACCTTAGGAGATGCTGCACTCCACCAACCAGCCAGCCCAGGGAACAGGTGGGGCTGGTGCTACACTCACAGACCCTCTCGCCATATGGAGTCTTCCAGGCTGCCACAGGCCCTGTCCCGGGGCCTAGTCCCATCCCTTCCCCTCCTGGCCTACTTCCCTACATTCTGCGAGGGTGCTGGGATGCCGGCCCTGGAGACGTTTGGGGAGCAAGAAGGCCTTTTCCCGTCTCTGGCCGCAGTAACACCCCCAAACACCCAGCTTCCTGTAAACTCCCCCTGCTGGACAGAGGCCTGGCTGCTCCTCCTATGTGATTGGCAAGAGGCCCCGTGTCTGCTAAGAGAGGGGGAGCGGGACTAGGGGGAGTGGGCTAGCGAGGTACCAGGGAAGGAGACCAGGCCGGCAGGACCTGACTGTAGGGCCCGTGTTGCTGCGCAGATGCTCTAGTCTCCTGTGGACAGCACCCTGCCCGCACCGGCTGTGGCCTCCATCTCCTCCACGTCCAGCTGGGCCCTCCCTGCCTTCTAAGTTCCAAGTTTCCATGGAAACTAGAGGTTGAGTGATCTCCATTCACCCTGAGTGGACTGGGAAGTGACCCAGGCGCCTGCCCTCGTTAAGCCTTGTCCTCCCCTCCGGGAAATGATTTCATGTTGCACATTCAGTTTGAGCACCCCAGGCTGTGCATGGCTCCTGGACTCGGGCTAGGGTCATACCCTGTACATTTCTATCATGTTTTCAAAGCACTTCCATAGACAAGCTCTCAAATGCTTCTCACAACAGAGCATGTATTATCCTCTCCATTTCAAAGATGAAGCCCAGAAAAGTTAGGCCTTCTGACCCAGAAGTGTCCATGATTACCCGTAAGAGCTTGGCTGTCTACCCCAGCTGTGGAAAGGAAGAGTGGGGTGATGTTCCTCGTAGTTCCCACAAGTTCAACCAGTTAGAAGACTTACTCCCCGGGTAGGCATTTTGCTTTGCTTTGCACAAGTAGGCAGGTTGTTGTCATGAACAAAATGATGCATATCCACTGTTTGAGCCAGAACTAGTTGCATGTTGGGGGTTTGCCATGTGGTCTGAGCTGCCTCCGCACCCTCATTTGTCCCTTCATGCTCATCTTCCTCACTTAGGGGCTGAGATGACAGAGACCATCACCCAGGGAACCGAGGCAGCAAAGGCACTCATGGAGGGTGGCAGCATGGGGACAGATCTGGGCCTGGGAAACCATGACACGGACTTGGTACAGTGCACGTCATCTTGATCTCTTTCAGCCCTGGCTGCATCCTGGGCCTTGGGCAGATGCCAAAGAGCCAAGCAGTGTGGTGGCCCGTGGGCAGAGTATCCCTGCTTGGGCCAGGAAAGCTTTACCTTCTCTGAGTGCCTCCACCTGGGAGATGCATGGCCTAGGGCTCTGGGAGACCACATCTTAGAGTGGCCCACCGTAGGCCTCCCACTTCACCCACTCCTGATCCTTACATAGACCCCACCCTTGCCCAGGAGCTTCTAGATGAAAATCAGAAGGAGGTTCAAGGGACCAAATAAATGGTCAGCCCCCACCACCCGCTCCTTGCCCCGTGCGGGGCTCCAGCCAGCTCCGTCACCAGCCCCACTGGCTCCTGGTTGCACTGAATGCAGCTCTCAAACTGGTCTTGTACTTGCTGAATAAATACTGTTGTTCTTGCCTTAGCTGCTCTCTAGGTTTGTGGGGTTAAGTTACAGAAAATTGTGCTACTGTGCGTGTGCGTGTGCGTGTGTGTGTAGTGCTAGGAGTCCACAGTAGGTCTCTGTCAAGCCAATGCCGTGATGAGGGCTTTTCTAATACTGACTCGGAAACCACAGAACCGTGCAGAAACCCAAACCCCTCTCCAGCTGCCTGGGCAGCAGCCACAGCCTGGGATTGGGATGGACCCTCCAGCACCCCGGCACCCACCTGATTTTCTCACTCCTCTGTAAAAGTCATGGTGCTAAGATTGTGTCAACCCCCAAGCCAACACATGGTCCTGTGCTTTGGCCACCCATTTGAGGCAAAAACAAAACAGCCCGACACATTGTGTTCTGGTGCAGGTTTGTATTAAACTGTAGCTACTTCTCACTTGGTCTTGGGTGTGTTTCTTCTAGAAGGGGGGTTGGCAGAGGACCTCTCCTCTGGTGGCCGGGGTAAAGCTAAAGTGAAGAAGACTCAGCTTCGGTTTTCACACACATTGGCAGGTGGAAGCTTACTGCGAGGCCTGAGCAGGGTCTGCAGATAAAAATATGTTGCGATCCTGGCTGGTGTGGCTCAGTGGTTGAGCGTCGGCCCATGCACCAAAAGGTTGCCGGTTCGATCCCTGGTCAGGGCACATGCCCAGGTTGTGGGCCTGATCCCCAGTGCAGGGCATGCAGGAGGCGGCCAATCGATGTTCTCTCTCATCGATGTTTCTATCTCTCTCTCTAAAATCAATAAAGGAAAAAAAAAATGTTGAGAAATGGGAGCCTCAGTGGCCCAACAGCTAGCGGTCAGTTCTGTCTCCTGGTGGGAACAAGACCAAGGTTTGTGGTACCAAGTTTCCCAGGACACGGTTGCTACGTTACCTGAAACGGGACAATCGGGGGAAACATTAGGTATAAAAGGGGATAAAACAGACTTTCCCTACCTCCCCTTTGTCACCTGCTCTCTTGGCTACCATTTGGGGAACCCTCTTCACACAGTGGAACCCTCGGCTGATGGGACTATGGCCTTGTAAAGACCACATGAAAAAGGCTGTTCCAATGCCAGTGTGTCTGAAGGATCTTCAGGCTGTTCTCTGGCTCCCCAGAACCTCACCTTTGGATTGGCCCCCTTTCCCCCCAAACCCCATCCGCCGGCATCAGGACTCTGCCTGCTCTCCAGGCCTCAGCCAGAGGTTCACAGGAATGATCTGCTCAGTTTCCCACTGAGACGTGAGCGAAATGATCACTTCCAGTACTATGGAGCCACGTGTACTTATTCCTTAGCCCCAAAGACAAAACCCTAATGAGGGCATGTTAGGTAGTGCGGGGAAATGGTTGGCAGCAGGGGACCCTTCCTGCAAGGAAGGCAGGCTGTGGCCGGAAGATGCCGGGGCGCTGCGGCAGGACAGTGCACTGGATTGTAGTGAAACGGGCCGTGTGCACAAGCTCGAGGGTTTCTCAGCCGACGGAGGCACCAGTACCTGCTGTGCAGAACGCTGCATCCCTGGGATGGTACTGGGCCAAAGTGTCTGTGTTACCCATCTCCCCACAACATGGGAGCACACCAGAGTTTGATTAACTGCCAACAATCCATTGTGTTTGGATGAAGAATGGCATGACCACACATCTGGCAGGCCAGGTGCATAGTCTCAGATGGCTTATAGAGAAAAAATAAAAGGTAGCCAGGAAGACACTGGATGTCTTTGTATGTATGTAATCACGGAGAAATAAAAGTCCACAGACTGTAAAATAAGGCTTGATCAATGATAAGAACCTGCATTTGGGGAAACCTGAACCAGCCAGAAGCTAAGCAACCATCACCCTCAATTTCTTCACTTAGAATGACAGGATGACTTATATACAGGTCCAACCTAACACTAAGAAGTACCTTGTAGTTCATGAAGGAGGGAGAGTCTCCTGACACCCCAGGTAGGAAGAAGAAACCTCATGATACATGTGGAGGGTAGACCTTGCACTCCTAGGTTAATGAAAAGCTACCTGAGTCCTGGCTGGTATGGCTCAGTGGGTTGGAGCATCGTCCCATACACATGGGAGGCAACTGATCTCTCTCTCTCTCTCTCAATAAATAAACATATCTTTGGGTGGGGATTTTTTTTAAAAGCTACTTGACAGTATTGCAGATTACACATTTGAAGAGCTCTCAGTACTTTTCTAGTAAAATGTTAAAAGATCTAACGTTCTGTTGACACTTGATACTATCCTATGATGGAAGTTGAGTCTTCACTTTCTTCCCCTCGTATATTTACAGACCGCACATTTATACCTAAAGGAGTCTTGTCCTGGTTTGCCCAGGACAACCCTGGTTTAAGTCTTATTGCCCCAGGATAATTATTAATAGTGCCACCTTTCACTTTCAAATAGTCCTGGTTTGGATAATAAATTACACAGTCACCTTATGTGCACATCTATATTCATTAGACTGTTAATATGCCTGTCCAGGAGTTAAAATTTTCCATCACAGAGAGACGGGGGACAGTGTACAGTGGGAGGTGGGGAAAATGGGTCCTTTGGGAGTGGGTGGAGACAGGGTTTCCTGTGACCAGCCCTGAGTTACAGGTCTCAGTGGCTGTGGATACAGCAGAGTGGTGACTTGATGACTGTCACATCTCAATTCCGTAGCAATCAAAAGTAGAAGCTTTCTTCTCTGACCTGTTTTGCTTAGTGGTTAGAGCATCAGTCTGTGGACTGAAGGGTCACAGGTTTGATTCCCAGTCAGGGGCATGTACCTGGGCTGTGGGTTCAATCCCCACCCCAGTCAGGGTCGTGTAGGAGGTGTCTCTCTCACATCAATGTTGTCTTTTTCTCTCCCTCCCTCCCACTCTATCTAAAATCAATGGGAAAATATCCTCGGGTGAGGATTAAAAAAAAAAAAAAAAGTACAGGCTTTCTTATATCCATGGGTGTAAACAAAGACCCTCTCCAGGAATTGCCTTATGCACAGTAGAGGGGGAGGGGGCTTCTTAGAACCCTGGAAGGGGAAAGAAGAAAACCTCTTGATACTCAGTTGGGGAAGGAGAGTGGACGTTACGATAATAAGCAAAATTTGAAAAATCTATTTGAAAGAGTAACAAAATATACATCTGTAAAGGGTCATAGTGTTTGTCCAGGAAAATACTAAGGATGTATCCTTTTTCTCAATTCAAATGCTTTACTTTGAGTGAAACAGGTATACCATAAAATGCATACAGCAGTTTCCCATTCTGCATGTAAGGAACTTGGAAGTTTCTACTCCATCCTAACAACAAGCAAAAAACTGAACAGACTGAAAAAAATCGACAATGATTCTTGGATCCATCAGAGAGGGGAGAACACAGCAAACCACTAACCCCAAGATTAGAGAGAGGGACGGTCAAATGAAGTTGGAAGGATCACACTTCCTGATTTTGAAGTGTTGCCATGAAGCAACAGTGATAAGGGTAGACATACGGATTAATTGAATAGAATTGAAAGTACACTTAAAAAAAAAAAAAACTAAAAAAGAAAAACAAAGTGTCTAAGGTCAATTTATTTTTTACCAAGATGCCAAGATAATTTAGTGGGTAAAAGTAATGTTTTCAGCAAATTATATTTAGACAACTAGATATCTACATGCAAAAGAATGAAATTGGAACACTACCTCACATCATATATAAAAATTAATTCAAAATGTATCAAAGACTTACATGTGAGAGCTAAAACATAGGAGTAAATCTTCATGACCTTGGATTTGGCAATGAATTCATAGATATGACAGTAAAACATAAGCAACAGCAACAAAAATTAGATCAATTTGACTTCGTCGAAATTTACAACATTTTGTGCTCCAAAGAAAATTATTAAGAAAGTGAAGTGACAACCCACAAATGGGAGAAAATATTTGCAAGTCACAGATCTGATAAGAGATTTGTATCTGGAATATATAAACAACCTTTATGACTCAATAATAAAAAGATAAATAACTCCATTAAAAATGGGCAAAAGATCTGAATAGACATTTCTCCAAAGAAAATAAAAACTCATGAACAAAGCTCAACATCATCAGTCTTTAGGAAGATGCGAATCAAAACCACAATGAGATTTCACTTCACACCCACTAGGATGGTTATAATGGAAAAGACGGATAAGAACAAATGTTAGCAACGACATGGAAAATTGGGTTCGATTTCCAATTAGGGCACATACAAGAATCAACCAATGAATGCATAAATAAGTGGAACAACAAATTGATGTTTCTCTCTCCCTGTCCCTGTCCCTGTCCTTCTCCCTCTCAAATAAAAATAAAATTCCAGGAAGGTGTATCTTCTCCTGCCTGTCTCCAGACTGGCCTCCTCTACCCTGTTTCTTCCTCGTTTGGCCTTTCTTTGCTCCCCAAAGTCCTCCTTCCCGGAGATGGCCCCTGACCACAGTACTACCCATAAGGGCCTCCAGATGGCGCTTTCAGCCCATCAGTGGCCACTGCTTTGGTTTAAAGATGCCAAAACTAACCTAATTTGGGTAAACAGGCAAGGCCCAAGAAAGGCAGGTATGTCTAGAGTACTATGGCCTCAATCCCAGCCCCTCAGAGCAGCTCAGGATTAGGTCCTTCTGGAGTATGAATGAGGGGCCATAGCAGCCTTTCTTGTACCAGGAAAATCCCTGGGGAAGTTGTCTCTCGCAAGGCCAATCTCAGGGTTTAGGTTAAGGTTGTCAAACTGAGCAAATAAAAATATAGGATGCTCTATTAAATTTGAATATCAGATAACAAATAACTTAGTATTTTAAGTATAGGTATGTCTCAAATAGTGTCTGTGTCATACTGAAAAAATTATTTGTTGATTATCTAAAATTTAAATTTTGTATTTATCTGAAGACTCTAGGTTTACTTGTATGAGTTTCCCACCTTCCATTTAATGTATGTGGATGGACTATCTGCCAGGCATGTGTTAGACAGTACAAAAATAAATCAAGTGCAGCCCCTGCTTTTAGAGATTAGTTAGGGGGGAAAACATTGACAAACAATTATAGTATACTGTACAAAGTATAGAAGCATGGGCTAATGGAAGAAGTTTGGATTTTGGTGTTGGCTTTAGGTTCAAACCCTGCTTGTGATGTTCACTCGTTGTGTGATCTTAGGCAAGTGAGTTAACCTCTCAGCGCCTCTGCTTTTTATTGTGAAAATGGAAATGGTACCAACCTCTAGAGACAACCAGGGAGGTTATACAAAATGGTCTGCATTTCATGCCTGGTTGTAGTAGGAGCTAAATAAATGCTAGTTTCCCCTTTATGAATGAGAAATAGTGTGAGAGACAGACAACTACAAGTGCCATGGGGGCAATGAACTTTACCGGCT